TCCTCCTCCTCCTCTCCTCCTCCCCTCCTCCTCCCTCCCTCCTCCTCCTCCCTCCTCCTCCTCCTCCTCCTCCCCCCCCCCCCCCCCCCCCCCCCCCCCTCCCTCCCTCCTCCTCCTCCCTCCTCCTCTCCCTCCTCCCTCCTCCTCCTCCTCCTTCCTCCTCCCCTCCTCCTCTCCTCCTCCTCCTCCTCCTCCTCCTCCTCCTCCTCCTCCTCCTCCCCTCCTCGAGATTCCTCTGGCTAGATGTTTGCAAGCCTTGGGGGATGAGAACCGTCCCGCCTACCCCCGAACCGGACCCCCGGGATCCAGGGCTTGGGGGCCCCTTGGACTTCAGTCGGGCCTGTCCCTCTACAGGAGGAATATGCGAAAAAATGTTGATTATTGTTTGACCATGTTTGAATAATATGTTTGGAATATTCCCAACCATCCTGTGGTATTGGGTCCTCGTTTTGAAGAGACGTCGCCCCGCGTTCTCCTCTCCTCCTCTCCTCTCCTCTCCTCCTCCCCCTCCTCCCCCCCCGCGTCACCCACACCCACTTCGGCACACCCCTCACACGCTTCGTGGCCCCATAAGAGCTCCGCCGAAGGCCCCATTGCTGCCGCCCGCATGCGTCACCCACACCCAATTCGGCACACCCCTCACACGTTTCGTGGCCCCATAAGGAGCTCCGCCGAAGGCCCCAGTGTTGCCGCCCGCATGCGTCACCCACACCCAATTCGGCACACCCCTCACACGCTTCGTGGCCCCATAGAGCTCCGCCGAAGGCCCCAGTGCTGCCGCCCGCATGCGTCACCCACACCCAATTCGGCACACCCCATCACACGCTTCGTGGCTCCATAGGGAGCTCCGCCGAAGGCCCCAATGCTGCCGCCCGCATGCGTCACCCACACCCAACAATTCGGCACACCCCTCACACGTTTCGTGGCCCCATAGGAGCTCCGCCGAAGGCCCCAGTGCTGCCGCCCGCATGCGTCACGCACACCCAATTCGGCACACCCCTCACACGTTTCGTGGCCCCATAGGAGCTCCGCCGAAGGCCCCAGTGCTGCCGCCCGCATGCGTCACCCACACCCAATTCGGCACACCCCTCACACGTTTCGTGGCCCCATAGGAGCTCCGCCGAAGGCCCCAATGCTGCCGCCCGCATGCGTCACCCACACCCAATTCGGCACACCCCTTCACACGCTTCGTGGCCCCATAGGAGCTCCGCCGAAGGCCCCAGTGCTGCCGCCCGCATGCGTCACGCACACCCAATTCGGCACACCCCTCACACGTTTCGTGGCCCCATAGGGAGCTCCGCCGAAGGCCCCAGTGCTGCCGCCCGCATGCGTCCCACACCCAATTCGGCACACCCCTCACACGCTTCGTGGCCCCATAGGAAGCTCCGCCGAAGGCCCCAGTGTTGCTGCATGCGTCACCCACCCCAATTCGCGCACACCCCTCACACGTTCGTGGCCCCATAGGAGCTCCGCCGAAGGCCCCAGTGCTGCCGCCCGCATGCGTCACCCACACCCAATTCGGCACACCCCTCACACGTTTCGTGGCCCCATAGGAGCTCGCCGAAGGCCCCAGTGTTGCCGCCCGCATGCGTCACCCACACCCAATTCGGCACACCCCTCACACGTTTCGTGGCCCCATAGGAGCTCCGCCGAAGGCCCCAGTGTTGCCGCCCGCATGCGTCACCCACACCCACTTCGGCACACCCCTCACACGTTTCGTGGCCCCATAGGAGCTCCGCCGAAGGCCCAAGTGCTGCCGCACGCACGCGTCACCCACACCCACTTCGGCACACCCCTCACACGCTTCGTGGCCCCATAGGGAGCTCCGCCGAAGGCCCCCGTGCTGCCGCCCGCATGCGTCACCCACACCCAATTCGGCACCACCCCCTCACACGCTTCGTGGCCCCATAGGAGCTCCGCCGAAGGCCCCAGTGTGCCGCCCGCATGCGTCACCCACACCCAATTCGGCACACCCCTCACACGTTTCGTGGCCCCATAAGGAGCTCCGCCGAAGGCCCCAGTGTTGCCGCCCGCAGGGACCCACACCCAATTGCACCCACCACCACGTTTCGTGGCCCCATAGGGAGCTCCGCCGAAGGCCCCAGTGCTGCCGCCCGCATGCGTCACCCACACCCAATTCGGCACACCCCTCACACGTTTCGTGGCCCCATAGGGAGCTCCGCCGAAGGCCCCAGTGCTGCCGCCCGCATGCGTCACCCACACCCAATTCGGCACACCCCTCACACGTTTCGTGGCCCCATAGGGAGAGCACACGATAGGCCCGCCGAAGGCCCCAGTGCTGCCGCCCGCATGCGTCACGCACACCCAATTCGGCACACCCCTCACACGTTTCGTGGCCCCATAGGGAGCTCCGCCGAAGGTACCACTGGGTGTGCCCGCATGCGTCCCGCACACCCATGTCGGCATGCTCTTCACACGTTTCGTGGCCCCATAGGGAGCTCCACCGAAGGCCCCAGTGGGTGTGCCCGCATGCGTCCCG